AGTAGCCAACGTCCCCTGCGGCTAGCGCTCGCCGGCAGAACCACTCGGATTACTCCTGCACATCCGTGCGGCCGGGATAAGGACGAACAATTTTGTGTTAATCTCACCTGTGTATGCATGCAATAGCGTGAATCGCGCCATAAGAAAATATTTTAAAAGAATCGGCGATAACTCGTAAACGGCCTGCGGCATTGCTCACGACGCCTAAATTCACAAACAATTAATCTGACTTGAAGTTATTCTTTCTTGAAGTGTGAGGCTTTCTCTCATGGCTCTTCAATAAACCCTAAAGTAGAATTATGTCCCAAAATATTAGGGCTGGAAGAATAATGACAGTGCGGCCGCCCCCACATTTAAAATTTACATGGCGTGATTCTCCTATGTCCCCGTCGACGCTCCGTATCAGTTATTCTCTTAGTACTGAGCCGCTAAAGAATCATACGGATGTGCCGCTCCATGCCGACTGATCACGCCTCGATCAGCTTCTGCCGTACGCTATTCTTTGGTCCCATAAGCTCGTCCCTGAGCCGCCCACACCCCGTGAATATGAAAAGTGTGAGACTCCCTCACACGCGACAAAAATAGCCGTTAAATTGTGACGTTTGACTTATCGGCGCTCTTAACTTTATAATACTTACCTATACGAGTGCGGTCTCAAAACGCTGGCTTCACCCCTATAACTACATTATTTCTTCAGATTAAGAAAAAAACTGAGAATGGTCATGCTTAGTGTATTGACATAAATTATGGAATATTGATTGAGCGATTCAGATTGTTCTGGTCCTCGCTATTTTACTTCGATCTCGATCCACAGGAAAAGACATTTCTAAACTACGAATGATACTAATTGATTAATCTATATGTCAACTGATCATTATTTGCCACAAACAAAAATTTGAATTTTAAATATTCAATCTTAGAGTGCCATGGTTGTGTTTAAAACACTAATTTTAATCAACGGGAGCCTTTGAAAAAATAGAATTTGATCGTCTAATGTTATCGTATCTTATCCTGGCCAGTTAAAAAAATTCCCAAATCTAAACGAGTTAAAAAAATGTATATTAAATAATTACCATTTTTTTTCAAATGGAACGAGGAGGATGGCTCATCTGAGGCTATATTCTGGGGCGCTTAAAATGCGTTTCTTGTCTCTCTCTCGAAATAAATTTTGGTATCTCACACCACTTGTATTTCGACGTCACAATCTGTTCGGCTCCTATAATGAACTCGCATGTTGCCAACTTTGCGGAGTGTCAACCAATATATTCGAAACAATGTCAAAAAATAGTTATTTTTTTTTTTTTTTTTTTTTTTTTCTTTTCATATAAAATTGTGTGGTTGTTTAATACCAATTAAAAATCAAACAAGTTACCATTTTACGAATTAAGGATACCATTTAAAAAATCGAATCGTCATGTATAGAGGACCTCATACTGAAGTCTAAACCTAAAAATTCCGCGCTGTGTCGCGAAATCAACAGAAAATAGTATTTATCCAGATGACAATTATTTATGTTCATCCAATTACATACGTATGCATAATTACTTTTAAAAACAAGTAATAGAGATGATTAATATATTTTCCTTTAAACTCAACTAAAATTTCTAATTACCTAACTTTTCTTAAAAAAGATGTGTCCTTAAAAGATGTGTCTTATATTTAACTTATTTAAAAAAAAAATCAAACCAAACCAAACTTAACAATATAAAAAATAAAAAACCTACACAAAGTGTAGTTTTTATTTTTCAAATTTCGTTTTAATTAAAGGCTGTCATTCTTCTAACAATTGGGTAAAATGTCCTGCAAAAATTTAAAACATTACTGTTTCTTTATTCAGTTTCAGCCATTTTTTTGGTTTTGATTTACAATCTGTTTATTTTTTTTTAAGTTTGAATTTGTGTAATTGTAAATGTGTGAGCTCTCTTGTTAATGTCTGTAATTTACCTGAATTTTCCATGAATGCTTTTTTTAACATTCAAATATATAGCACTAATAGTAACTTCAATTCAACCTCCAAATTTCAAGAAATGCAAATAAAAAAAAAAATTATTTTTTTTTTGCAAATGATTTATTTAGTACTACTTTCTTTGGTAGACATTCTTTGCATTCTTGTGAATTTTGCGATCTTGAATTCTAGTGCGGATCTCACTCGTCTCATAGACCCAATCAAACACGCAAATTTCGTGATATCGTCTGCTATTTATAAGAGGAATTAATGCAGTTTAAAATTAATTCAGAGATGCTATTTACTAGACCGATTTGCGATATCGTATGCTGTTTACGATAGTAGTTTTGGTCCTCTCACGTCTTTCGGGGCCTCTCATTTGATACCGAATCGCCTATCATCGGGACGCTGGTGTTTACTAATCATTGCGTCCCGGCCTTTTGACACATTTTTTAATATAAGCAGTAGGATCCTATATGCATCGCTACCGCGGATAGCTCATCAAGGGCTCTCAGTGAAAGCTCTCCATCGAGTTCTGGTTTTTGGCAGGTTGTTTGTCTTCCGCTTTCCACCTGTGCCCTACTTGTGTGAAAGCTCATCCAGTATTGGAACGTCTCCATGGTATATAGCAGGGGCGGTCCTTGCTTTTCTTTGCGTGTGGCGCCCCAGCGGCGCGCGCGCGCCAACGCTCGCGCACTCCTCGGTACTCTCTTCAGGTTCTTCCGGCAAGAGTGTTGAACCTACTTGCCTTGCCGCCTATTTATCTCCTTCGGATTTGCGTATTAATCGATATGCACAATCGCACTCCTACTTCTTGTTGGTTTGTTATAAATGATGAAGACAGGTCTGCGCGCTCGATTACACCATACGTATAGTGTTTTAGCTCCAAATGATTTTAAGATTATGGTTACTCCGCAACGTTGTATCAGAGCGATTGATAAAAACAACCTGCTGGACGGCCTTGACTCGTACTATTTTTTGTCACCCTCTCCATGTCTCCGCAAGCCCTCAATAATAAACACTGGTACTGACGTTGGGCAATTGAATATTCTTAATTTTTCTTGTTGAGAGTTGACGGGAGGTCAAAATTGATTTTAGTTGGAGAACCAAAGGGCCTCGCCTGTTTGTCCTCCTGATCCTGCTGACAATAGCCGCGTCTGCGCCACCGTTTGCGGTTACAATTACGGCGGTCTGTTTCAACATAAAAAGACTCAAAAAACTCAGGGCAAAAACACGTACCAAATTCATCACAGAACTTCAATACGCTTACGATTGCGCTCTAGTTGCAAAAAACTGTACAGCAATTACAAGATATGCTGAACACATATACCTGGGCATACGAGGCTTTGGGCTAAAAGCTAAACATTCCGACCAACAACTAAAATCATGTGCACCCCCCGGAAGATCACACAATGCTATAAAACTCGGAGAAGAACTACTGGAATATGAGCGGAATTCAATTACCCCGGCATCGGCAGTCGGATTCCGGAAAAGGCAATATCGACTCTGAAATTCAGCAAGGGATTAGCAGCGCCTCAGAGCATTCTGGAAATTAAAGACAGGGTTTTCTAAAACCATGACCTGAGGCACAAAAACGAAACTTGCGATGTACCGAGCAATAATAATGCCCACTATTGTTATATGGAGCGAAACCTGGGTGCCGTACCGCCTAACATTGAAAGAAAAACGGGGGGGAATTTTAAAAAAAGCTGGCAACAGAGACCACCTTAGACAACTTCTTTAAGAATCAAAATGGTTCCATCACTTCTCAAACGTAATCGTTCTTGAAAAAGCTAACTGCGAGAGTATTGAAGTCATGGGTTACAAAATCCCGACTAAATGGGCTGGGTCACGTATGCAGGAATGCAAGAAAACCGCATTCCAAAATCACTGCTTTACGGTGAAGCTTGTAGGACGGTAACAGGAGGCCAGGTGGACAACTCAAAAGGTACAACGGACATTTTCACGAAAACTTAAAGGGATTATTTTTTTTATGTGCAGTATGAGTGGGAAGAAACAGCTTACAATAGAAACTCAATGGAGAAGAATTGTAAACTCAGTTAACAGCGAGAACCAAAAAAGTTAAGAGGCAACAAAACAATGAGATTTTTGAATGTCCGGGAGTGCGGTGTTAGACAAAAAACATCACGTATTGGGCTTTTCAGTCCCAGAAAAGGCCTCATGAAAGAAAAACGCCTTGCGTGACATTCTTCTGATGCGTTCAATACTCGTCAGCGATGTATGGACAGTAGTAGTAGTGTTACAATACTTCCCAGGTAAATAAACTCTGTTACATTCTCGACATGTTTGATTCCTACATTGAATGGAGTGTTGTTTGTATTAATGCGCATTGACTTTGTTTTCGTCGATGTTTATGCTTAATTCTACTTTGTCTGCTTCTGTTTTTAGACGTCTGAAATCATTTCCATGTCTTTGAAGGATTGCGTTGTGAGACAGATTATCATCAGCATAATCAAGATCCGTCAGATGCGATATCAGAGTCCATTGTACTCCCTAATGTTTGCCGTGGCTTTAGTCAAAACGCTGTCGAGCACGATATTAAATAAAAACGGTGATAATGTACAACCCTGCTTTACTCCTGTCCCTAAGTTAAAACTGTCGCTGGTTGTACTGTTGTGCAGCACATTGCATTCTGCTTTTCTGTAGAGTTCCTTGATTATATTATATTAGTTTTTCCGGAAAAAAAACGAAAAAAAAAAAAAAAAAAAAAAAAAAAAAAAAGCTTAAAACCCCGTAGAGTAGCGATATTGTGTGTACTCGGGCGCCAGTCTCTGCCTGTCCATTCATTTTTTATTTTATTGATTTTGTCAGATCGTTTTCTGTCATGCTGGAAGAAGTTACATGAAAGCCATTATAGAATTAAAATAAATGAGCTAGATATGTAATGAAACTATTAGAATCATTCAGTTTTTACAAACATTAGAACAATTATCTGAAATACTGCAAACAATATAAAGCTTAATCACTAATTTTAGACGATTTAAAAAAAATACTTTCTCTCAGTGCTTATTAGAAAAAATAAAATAAATATTCCTTTTTATACTTCACAATTAAATCTATTATAATACCATGTATTACATTCAAAAAATACATACTTATCACTATTACAAAATATTAAAATCTAAAAACAACCAAATAAATAACATAAGCTATATATAATACAATAAAAACAAACCCATAAGATTAAAGATACAAGATAAATCTTTCTAATAAATTTGCTATCATCACTGACATAATTTTTCACACGTTAAACGATTGTTAATCCCCAAACCGTTCCCGAATTTCATCCAGAAAGAATAAATTAACACCGATTAGTCTAGGGGCGTTTTTGGGAGTGTGTAATCGGATACTTTTCTCCACCCCTGTGGCGAAAGTTTCAGGAAGTCGCTCCTCACGGTAATCCTTGATGATATACAGTGTCGCAGAGAAAGTTTGCTTCATATGTGATTTTTTTTATTAATTGATTTCGTTGAATTTTGATTTTGGCGTTATTTTTTTTTCTTCGAATTAGATTTAAAATGACATTAAATTTAGGCTGTATTTCATTGTAAAACCAGGTTAACCAGATTTGTTTTGAGATACTTTTTTTCAGAAACTTCTGAAAAAATATCCTTTATACAGGGTGGCGCTTCTCAAACGACGCGGAGGCTCCAAGGAGAACGACAGTTTGTATTGAAATGAAATTTTTTGAGCATATGTAGGTTAATTTAGAGCACTTTTTAAAAATATAGACAGTTCTACAGGGTGTCCCCCATCAAAGTTGTGTTTTTTTGTAATAGAACACCCTATATATTAATTGATTTTTGGCAAATAGGCAAAAAATAAAGGTGTTTTTTATAGAAGAAGTATATGACTAAAATGTAAGGTTTTGACATATTTAACATTTTCTATAATTAAAGAGCAATTTTTAAATTACAATAAAAGCTACCTAAATTGGAATTTACCCGGTATAGCATAATAGGAAGGTAGTTAAATTAACTATTGTACTTTAAATCAAATTAAAACTTGAAGCAAAAAGTTATACAGGGTGAGACAAAATTAATATTGAACATTGGTCACCTTTAAAAGCAAGTTACTCTTTTATTTTAAATGGAACATCCAGTATATTATTCCGATATTCAATGCAGAATTCATGTCTCTTTAAAATACTATTAAGGTTGTCTACCCTTCAAACAAAGATTTTCCTAGATATTTTCATTTATATGATTTAGTGTCACTAGATGTTTATTACCTATTTAATAAAATTTAGGGAGGTGGGGGTGGCTGTATGTCTAACGTTACTTCAACATAGCTGTCTAATTAATTCAACTTTAACAACTAGTTATCATTTTGTGTGAGTTAAAACAAGAAAAATTCTCAGAAATTTGCCACAAACTTATCCTACATCAGAGAGAATTGATATGATTCTAGTAGTTGGTGAATGCAGTTGCTTGATAAAAATTAACAAAAAATATTTTTTCAGTTTATTTGTTTTTTATGATTTTCACTGAAAATTATTTTTTTTCATGTTTTCAACAATTTGTTTCGTTTAAAAAATTTTTAGAAACTAATTTGTTTTAATCCCTGCTATTAGTTGTTGAATATTCTCTTTTAAATCGTATCCCACGACAAAAAAAAAATTAAAATTAATATAAGGATTAATAATAATAAGTCATATCTTTATCCCTAACAATGGGGTGCTGGGAAGATGGTATTTCATCCCAGGAATGCTGATGCTGATTGGTCTGTTCCGAGTAAACTCCATCGGCTGTCTCTGTTCTTTGAAAACTGAAAGGCCATGTCTGAAAAAAAAGTATAAAATAATTTAAAAAATGCTTCTGTAGTGAAAATATTCGAGTTTTTAGGTTCCACAAGAATCTATATTCAAAATAAAATAAAGCCTGTCCAACGAGAAAATACATAGTGGGGTCGGATAGCATAAAAATATTTCAGTGCTGGCGGCGAATTTGAGTTTTTGGATATGGATAGTACATATACCAAGCATCAAAAAACGCCCCAGACCCCAAAATTTTGGGGCCCCTCCACCACCGGTATGACGTCATTAAAGCGGGGGTCAAAAAAACGGCTTTTATAGGCATATAAATACTTTTTTTTTCTTTGTAAAAAACATTTTAATTTTATTTTTTATACTAAAACAACATATTTGAAAATATTTTCAACTGTTTTTAATTATATGGCGACCATCTTGTTATATAAATGACAAAATTTTGACATTTTATCTGATATTTCGTGTTTGATATCAATTTGTAGGTTTTTGGGGTCGACAAATTTAGTGATGATATTAAAATTTTAAAACGATACATCTACAACTAGATGCTACCCCAAACAACCCCTCAATGTCAACCAGAACAATGTCCTTCACATGCAAACGCTGTGTAAAAGCTGTGTACACCAAAGACCGTTTTTTACACATTTACATGCTGAACACCGTTGTTTGCAGCTACAAGCGATTGGTTCCTCACAGCTTTTCACAACATCTGGAATGGTAAACTACAATGGCTGAAATCCGTCGTTAGTTTTTTGCCATCCCCAATTATCAGGAAATGGAGCTTGAAAATCTTTTTCCAAGCAGTTGTTCCGTATAAGGGCTTGTAGACTGGCTCGCTTGATTTGTTGCATCAAAGCATTTTGCGTTGGAGGTATATTCTCAATTGCCCTTTTTTTATGAAAAGGAAACGTCTACACTCGTTAACAGTACTCAAGGGTGATGTCGCATCATATAATAGAACCACAAATCTTTCCATAGTACGCAAAATGGATCATCTGGATCTCTTCCCATAAGCAGTTGTTCAAAAGCCGAATTAACATTTAGGATCCAAACCTTCCAATCTCCTTTCTTGCCCACCCCACAGAACGATGACACAGTATCGCAACCTGTTATAGAATCAAATATTGGTAGATATCTGCAAGTCTCCTGTGAAAGCTGGAAACATAAGCAATGGATGCTAATTAATCTTTGATGTTTCCCAGTTCCAAAATCAATCCAGAGTTGTTGAATGTTTTTAATTTTAATAAATGTTGACACTGCAATGACAACATCTGAATCCACCGTTCAAATGGTGACGCAGTTGTGGCAATTATCGACTGTGTATTTAGCATGCAGAAGAAGGCGACCGCCTCCTTCTTCATACCACGATGGCAAAATATCTGAAAGATCCAATTCTGCTGAAGAAGATATTACTGATATTCTTGGAGCGTACATACTATTGTTTTTCCAATAAAAGTTTCGCTTGTTAGCTGTTTTGCCAAAAAGCTAAATAACTGCTGTTTGTTTTTATCTACTCGTAAAAATTCGATTTTGGAACTGGGAAATATCAAAGATTAATAGCATCCATGGCTTATGTTCCTAGCTTTCACAGGAGACTTGCAGATATCTACCAATATTTCATTCTATAACAGGTTGCGATACTGTGTCATCATTCTGTGGGGTGGGCAAGAAAGGAGCTTGGAAGGTTTGGATAGCAGATCCTAATGTTAATTCGCCTTTTGAACAACTGCTTATGGGAAGAGATCCAGATGAAGATATTTTGCGTACTATGGAAAGATTTGTGGTTGTATTATATGATGCGACATCACCCTTGAGTACTGTTAACAAGTGTAGACGTTTCCTTTTCAGAAAAAAATAGGGCAATTGAGAATATACCTCCAACGCAAAATGCTTTGATACAACATATCAAGCGAGCCAGTCTACAAGCCATTATATGGAACAACTGCTTGGAAAAAGGCTTTCAAGCTCCATTGCCTGATAATTGGGGATGGCATAAAACTAACGACGGATTTCAGCCATTGTAGTCTACCATTCCAGATGTTGTGAAAAGCTGTGAGGAACTAATCGCTTTTAGCTGTAAACAACGGTGTTCAGTATGTAAATGTGTAAAAAACGGTCTTCGGTGTACACAGCTGTGTGCATGTGAAGGACATTGTTCTGAAAATGATTAATAGAGTGTATTAACTTATTTTATTAAAATGTTATTTTTATTTAGAATGTTAACTTATTTTTAATTTTCAAGTCGTTTTTATTCATACGTTTGATTATATAATATATTATGAACATAAATAGAAGTTTATATTTTAGTATAAAGGTTGGTGCATAGGGGGGTGTTGGGGAAGGGATGTATTAAAGAAAAATTTTGAGTAGTTGTTTGGGGTAGCATCTAGTTGTAGATGTATCGTATTAAAATTTTAATATCATCACTAAATTTGTCGGTTTTTTTTGACCCCCGCTTTAATGACGTCATATCGGTGGTGGGGGTCCCCCCCCCCATTTTGGGGTCTGGAGCATTTTTTGATGCTTGGTATATGTACTATCCATATCCAAAAATTCAAGTTCGCCGCCAGAACTGAAATATTTTTATGATTTTCAGAACTATCCGACCCCACTAACATAATAGATGTCTGTCATTTTCATTTACAAGAAAATTATATTTTCTGTTATTTATCGAAATCTACTCTGACTCGTTGGACAGACTCTAGTTCTTAATATTAGTAAATAATGGCGTGTTTACAATTTTTATTTAAATTAATACGAAGTCATGTATAAATTATTAAACCCGTATATTTTTTAACTTTTCCTAAATTAGTATTATATTTTATTTTTAGTCTAGCTTCTAAGGCGAGCACGAGACAATACATTCAAGTGGACTATTTGACAGCTATCCAAGGCGTCAAACGGCTCGCGCCAATAAATAAAGTAAACATTGGACCATAAGGTGCTGATCGAAACAAAACATTTGGTCCATTAATTTGTCGTCGAGAATGACAAGTGTTAAAAGTGGGGCCAGACACTTTTGGATTATTCGCTTCACTTTGAGGTTGACAAAGTGAAAGCGGAAATCAAAAATAAAGTACACCGCAAGATTTGCAAAAAAAACATTTTTTAAGAAGATAGATATAAAAGTGATTCGAAGTATGAAAATACCGCAGCCTATGTGAAAATTACTTTCCAAAAGTTACTTATCCATTATTTTTCTGTAGTCTCTAAAAATATAATTACTGTAAAACAACTTGGAACAGTCAAAATAAGCTGAAAATAAGACTAATAAATAAGGTTATAAATCAATATTTTAATTATGTAGATTGAACTGGTTTTGATTCATTTGTATTTGTAAAAATTGATTTAATTTTTGACTGTCGATTGCGGAAGGAAACATACTACTTAAAAGAAGTATGTTTTTATTACTGGCAAATCCGCCGCTACTTGTGGTGAGCAGAACTGGTCTTGGTCTTGCAGTCTTGGCCTTGAACCTTTTCTTGCACAGAAAGCAAGACAAAGACCAAGCATGCATGCAAGATTTCTGTGGCGTTCAGCTAAATAAAATAGTAAAAAAATATTTTTTATGATGTGGTAGGTATTGTCATAGGTCGCGGCAGTATACCGGGTGCGTCTCTTTGTCAAATAAAAAAACGAGGTTTGATATATTATAAGACATAAAATAGGATTGATTGACGTATTCAATTGTTTTTGGTCACTTCCTGTCTCACCATAAATAACTACAACTTTTGATTTTTAAATGACATCCTCGGTATTTTTTTACTTTATTCGATAGAAAATGATACTCTGAATAATCATGTGTTAACTTGTGACATTTTCGCGTATTGTTTATTTGTAATTGTAACATGGCGGTTCGTAACGACAATTTGACTCGAAATAACAAGTGTGTGATACGAAATTATTCGTAAAAGAATGCTTTTTCCAAATATGCTAATGAGCCACCCTCGTTCCATTTGAAACAATTGAGATATAATTAAAAATATGATTTGGGCATCTTTTAACCGGCCAGGACAAGACACGAAAAACATTAGACAATAAAATCTATTTTTCCAAAGCTCCTTAATTAAAAGTTAGTGTTTTTAACACAACCACTTAATTGAAATTTAAAATATGATTTTTTTAAAGCGAAAATGTCAAAAGTTGACATGTGGTATGTCATTCTATTCAGAGTGCCATTTTCTATCAAATAAAGTAAAAAAAATACCGAGGGTGTCATTTAAAAATCAAAAGTTGTGGTCTGAGGAGGACAGAAATAAATAGACGAGTACAGTTGACGCGCTAAAATTCAAAATAAATTCTTTCTAGATAAATAGTTATAAATCGTTTGTAAATAGTTCTTTAAGTCTTTTATCGTTATTGTTTTTGTTAATTAGTGCTAAATAAATTGTGTTTAAATAAATTGTGACTTTCTATCCACACAACAACCCATGCAAGTAATTAATTTGACTCGAAATACCAAGTGTGTGGTATCAAATTATTCATAAAAAATGCTTTCTCAATGCTTTCCATACATATGCTAATGAGCCACCCTCGTTCCATTTGAAAAAAATGAGATATGATTAAAAATACAATTTCGGCATATTTTAACCGGCGGCTAAGACAAGACACTAAAAACATTAGAGGGTCAAATCTATTTTTTCAAGGTTCATTGATCAAAAATTAGTGTTTTTAACACAGTCATGGCACTCTAGATTGAAATTTAACATACATTTTGTTTTTGAGAGCATATGTCGCGCAAAGTTGACATATGATATGTCATTCGATTCAGAGTGTCATGTATCTATTTAAAAATCAAAAGTTGTAGTCATTTCCGGTAAAACAGGAAGTGACCAAAAACAATTGAATACGTCAATCATTCCTAATTTATGTCATATACTAACATACCAAATCTCATTTTTTTATCTGAAAAAAAAAGTTCAGCCACTTTTGAGACGCACCCGGTATAGGAAGAATTTTTTGACTTTTATTGCAAGATAGAAAAACGAGCTTTTTTCGTTCTTATAGGTGTTAATTATACCTCTTTATCTAAACTTACGCTTTGATTCGTCAAAGCGAGCTGTCGTAAAATCTGAAGAGCGTTTCCTGGTGAATCGAGTGCGCCGCGACCGTGAAGAGGATGCTCTTGCCTATCAAAACAAAGCTCGAATATCAACAGTGTGTCGCCGAGGACCTTTCCATCCACTTTATTCCCTGCTCGCGTGGTAATAATTGGGATTCCGGCAAATGCGTCCAGCTGTTCCAGGCGGGGCGGGCGCGCGGAGGCATTTATAGCCGATTTGCGGTGTTTACACGATATTTAAATAAACGTCGAAGACGAACGGGCTTTGTTCTTGTCTTTATTCCCCTTTTTTTTCGTTTTTCGTTCGTAAACAACGAGGAATTAAAATATAGCAGCGCTAAGAACGTTAGAAGTTTTAGATTTTGGTCAAAATCAGTAGTTAGTCTGAGGAAGTCCAATATCGTCGTTGATAATGGAGATTTGAAAAAAGTTTCATATAAATGTTGCATGGTTTATAACGGTGCATTATCCTAAAATATATTTTTTTTATACAGGGTGTCCTAAGATAAGCAATGATAAAGTTTTAAGTTTTTTTAATTGCAGCCCCCATTTTTCTGTGCAGAATTGGATTAAGCATAAAATTCTGGACATAATACACTATTTTTATATAAAGCAATATGTGCTGTTGCCATGCTATTTCTGATTTGTTGAAACTTATATACCGAGTGTTGATCAAAAGTAGCTAGCCTCTATAACTTTTTTATTTTTTCAGATAAATAATCGAGATTTGGTATGTTAGTATATATGACATAAATCAGTTATTGATACTGCACTATATTCATAGATGACCGTATTTTGTTATTATATACAGGGTGGTCCGAATTGTATTCAGGAAACTTCGGCAGCATATTTTGCAGATAAAAATAAGTAAAAAAGTTCGTATAAATGTATGTCCTAAAATGCTTAGTTTTCGAGATACAGGGTGTAGAAATTTCATTTTTATTTCGATTTTTTCCAAATAATTTCTGAAGTAAGGTCAATATTTGGATGAAAATTGGTGTCTGGGAGTTTTTTGACATGAGAAATTTGATTTTGATATCAATATGACTCCTATTAGTAGAGGGCGCCACCTACATATTTTTTAACTGGTTTGAAGAGTAATAACTTTTTGTCCGTACCTGTATAAAACTACTGAGTAAAAAAATATACATTCACGACATTTTCTACGTGAAAAAGGTCTCTTGGTAAAAATCGCTACGAGTAATGGTTTTCGAGATATTTGGAATCGAAATTATCAATACCTGTCATCATTACATAAATTAAACATGCTGACTAAATAGTTATTAGACTGAAATCATAAATTTGAAATGCTTTGTGCCAAAAGTTCAACAGAAACTGTTTTACCATCGTTTTTTGCAGAAAAATTTATGATTAATTTAAAAAAATTAAAATTTCCCATATTTATTATTTCAGTGAAATAACTATCTACTCAACGTGTTTATTTTTCGTCAATAATGACATGTATTGACTATTTCCATTCTAAATATCTTAAGAACGGTTACTCGAAGCGATTTTTACAAAGAGATATTTTTTACGTAAAAAGACTCAGAGATGTATATTCTTTCACTCGATAGTTTTATACAGGTACGGACAAAAAGTTATTACACTTCAAAACAGTTAAAACACATGTAGATGGCGCCCTCTACTAGTAGGAGTCATATTGACATCAAAATCAAATTTCTCATGTCAAAAAACTCCCAGACACCAATTTTCATCCAAATATTGACGTTACTTCAGAAATTATTTAGAAAAAATCGAAATAAAAATGAAACTTCTACACTCTGTATCTCTGAAACTAAGCATTTTGGGACATACATTTATACGAACTTTTTTACTTATTTTTATCTGCGGAATATGCTGCTGAAGTTTCCGGAATACAGTTCGGACCACCCGGTATATTCAAGTTTTCGGTCGCTTTCTGTTTCACCGACACATGACAACAAATTTTGATATTTAAATTGTACTCATTGTATTGAACTCATTAAATTGTACTCATTGCATTTATTCGATAGAAAATTAACACTCTGAATAAAATGACATACGACCATATGTCAAATTTTGACATTCTCGCTTAAAAAAATTGTTGTCATATACTAACAAATCAAATCTCGTTTTTTTTTACCTGAAAAAATAAAACAGTTATAGGAATGACCCTTTTTTGAGAAACACCTTATTATTGATTAATCTGTTATTGTAAATAACACTTAATATTATTAATCTGTTATTGTAAATCTGAAAAGTAGTTAAAATCTGGAGCGAATTTAACTTTATAAATACGAGCCCTAACAACTATATGTTGGGACAAGGTCTTTTTTGCAGTAAAAATAGTAATTTGTTAAAACGACTTAATTTATTTTGTTTATTATTCTAAATTCAAACATTACAATATGATCTAGACAATTTTACTATATTTTTATAACTTTGCAAACAAATCACTTTTGATAATAGCTTATTTTGCCAAAATCAAGCCAAATTTGCTGACAACTATATATTGGGATAGCCCAACAAGAAATTTGTTTAATACGGAGTTATCACCTTTCGCCTTAACAACTGCCTGAACTCTTAATGGCATTGTATTTACCAAAGATGGGCATATTTGAGGAGAAAAATTATCCCAAATTTCCTGCAGTTTTGTCCGCAAATCAAAAATTGTTCGTTGAGGGTGGTTTCTTAAATATTGCTTTATTTTATGCCACACAGTTTCTATAACATTGAGGTCCGGACTACTTGCAGGATAGGATAGTTTTATATTATTATTACAGAACCAATTTTTAGTTGATTTTGCTAAATGGCACGATGCTCCATCTTGTTGAAAAATATAGTCTTCGTTTGGAAACAATTCTTGAGCACTAGGCAAAAGTGAGATCTCAAGTATATGTTGATATTTTTGGGCGTTAACAGTGCCATCTATAAAATTTAATTTGCCCAAACCTCTTGCTGACATGCAACCCCAAACCATAATCCCCTTAGGAAATTTAACAACCCTCTTTAAGCAATCTTTATGAAAGACTTCTGCTTTATTTCGTATTATTCTTTTTCGATGATCTCCAACGCAAACATCAAATTTAGACTCATCGCTAAATATGACCTTATTCCAATCATTTTGTGTCCACGATAATTTAGATTTTGCCCAATTGTAGCGATTTTTCTGTCAGTAGGTAGCGGTTTTTTTGGCCTAAATAAGAATTTGTATCAATAATCTTCAGGTAATTGATTATCCACACAAAATAAAGTTTACCTTGTAAAACCCCAGACCGCATTTATGGATATATTTTCGGCAACACATTCTCTTGATATATTTAATCCAGTTACAGTATTCCATTTAACTGTTACTTCGCGAAGAGTACTTCTTCTCGCAGACTTGCAAATTTTTACTAAATTTCGTAAATCTCTCTGAGATACAACTTTTGGCCTTCCCGAACTTTTACCTCTAACGCCTAAAGACCGTGGTTTTTGGAATACTTAAATCATCAAAAATGTTTCGAATTGTTTTTCGCGTACTTTATTGACGAATGATAATTTCGCGTTGATTTGTAGCTTTTCCATGGGCCATTACTTTGGATTAAATTAACAAAATTGCAAATTAAAAAAAATAAAATGACTTACAGTAAGTCTCACTACTCAAAGTATCGAGTCACTTACAAGCTGTCAATGCTGAAGTAAACAGTTTGCGATATTTGTGACGTTTATAGCAAAGCCGCCTATGATATTAATTATTTAAAAATACTTGTCCCAACATTTAGTTGTCAGGCAAATTTGTCCTTTTATGAACAAAATCCGCTACTGTAAATATGGATTAATTTACAAATTCATAAAAATATTGTCAAATTGTTTAGGATATATGCCTTTGTTTATATTTAAAAAATTAAACATATATTTTTCAGTCATTTTGAAAAACCAGGGCAATAATTCAAATATATATACAAAATATGACATTGTCCCAACATATTGTTGTTAGGGCCCGTAGTACTTAGCTATACACACACACACATATTCTTAGACACCAAGGATAACAGAACAAATCCTTTCTCTTTTCTTCTCTCAATTCTCTTATACAGAGTATTTTATGTTATTGATATTGATAATTATGATAATCGATATTCTTTGGAGTCCAAATTTTGCCTTTATACTTAAATTCTCATTTATTACTGGGACCAGTGCGACCTATTTATTGACACTATGAGTTATTGTTTTTCAAACAGTTTTTTTTCAATTAGTTATACTACTAAGTTATAAGTTTACTTACGAGTGTGAGAGGATGCTTATGTAGATGGTCATTTGGTGGTGGTTGGTCCATCAGTACCGCTCTTAAATGAGCAATGTAACTCGTGGCCAGTCGCAATGTATCAAGTTTGGATAGTTTGGTGTCAGCCGGTACCCAAGGTAACGTAGTTTTTAATCTGAAAATAATTTTATTTTAATATTAATCTACTACTCGACTAATATCCAGTTATTAGTAATTACAGCTCTATATTATTATCGTTTTGTATTGAAAAATTATTTAAAGGATCAAATTAGTAATTTTAATTTAAAAACTAAACTTTTTATTTTTCTGCAGAGGATTGGTATGTGTAAATTATACACCAAAGAAAATATATATATAGGGACTATAAAAATATTATACCATTTTAGTATATTTATATTAGAGCTAAAATAGCCGAATAGAAGAAAAAATTTATAAAGTTTTGATATGTTGACATTAGAATACTTTTATAGCATCAAAAGTATACTTTTCAAAATCAAAAGAGTTCTTAACTATAAAGTGTGAGCTTCACCCCAAAAAACGACCCCCAATACGCCCTTCGTTGGTTTTTCGCTTTTTTCTCAGAACCCGTTGATCCCACAAAAAAATTTATACTTACCGAATAAATATTCCTTATAAAATTTGCTACAAAAAAGGTTCTATTCATTATTTATATTTAACCAATGCATTTCGAGCAATAACCGTTTGAAAAATGGAGTACAAAAAAAATACAGGTCGTCTTTCAAACTATAGTCTCCAAGGCATTTTAACGTGCTAAATATACACGCAGCAGATATAATACTGTATAATATAAACAAAAACATTGCCTATTCCACTAAACTAACATTCATACTTTCATCTACATATTGTCATCGTCTATAGTTTCTAGAATGTGCTCAGTATTCGAACAACTTTGCCCACGACAAGTTCCGCACATAGTTGTACATTTCATGCCGGCTTTAATGCAACTGCATCTTTTTACACAATCTTGTTTGCAGTTGCATCGTTATTAATGACATAATTGAAGCAGGGGCGGGCAATTCTGATGTATATAAAGGTGACAGGGGTGTTGATTTTCTTCCAGATCCACTGGTCGGGTTTTATAGGTTGTTCTTGCCATATTTGTACTTGAAGATATGTTTTCCGGGAATGTTGCCTAGCTGCAGCAGATGTGAGAGGCAATTTTGATAAAAGTACCGTGCTGTTTGCTTGACCAACTAACTTATTGAAACAAGCGTATCTTTGGTTGTAATGTAAATCTCACTAAGGCTCCCTTCAGATGATTGAAGTTTGTATAGTTTCAGTAAAAACGTCTCTCCAGCTTTTCCAATTTCTTCAGGTGTCGATTTTGCGTTGCTAAAAATATCGACGATACTATCAAGGTCTTTTTCTTTATTATTAAATTTATACGTGTTGTTGTTTACCTTTCCAAAAAATCTGATGTTGTGTCACACCCGCTAATAGCGTGAATAAATAATATTGTTTTTTTTAAATTACGTATAATACTGGATGATTGCAAGTCTTTCGAACTATACATTCGTTGTTTCGCATTACCTATGGCTTCTTTCAGAAAAATGTCTTTTTTTCATTACGGAAGGAAAGTGCTGCTAATAAAACAACAAGATCGACATTTTCTCCAACGACTAGAACTTGTTCATTTTTCTCAGATATTTTGATGGCAGGTACGAATAATTTGAAGATCAGCAAACGGGATTGTGTAAAAGATGCAGTTGCATTAAAGCCGGCATGAAATGTACAACTATGTGCGGAATCTGTTGTGGGCAAAGTTGTTTCGAATACTGAGCACATTCTAGAAATTATAGACGATGACAATATGTAGATGAAAGTATGAATGTTAGTTTGGTGGAATAGGCAATGTTTTTGTTTCTATTATACAGTATTATATCTGTTGCGTGTATATTTAGCACGTTAAAATACCTTGGGAGACTATAATTTGAAAGGCGACCTTTTTTTTTGTACTCCATTTTTCAAACGGTTATTGCTCAAAATGCATTGGATAAATATAAATAATGAATAGACCTTTTTTTGTAGCAAATTTTATAAGGAATATTTTTGATAAGAATGAAATTTTCTGTGCGACTAACGGTTTTCGAGAAAAACGAGAAAAACCACCGTAGTGCGTATTGGGGGTGGTTTTTGGGGGTGAAGCTCACACCTTACAGTTAGGAACTCTTTTGATTTTAAAAAGTCTCCTTTTAGTACGTATAACCTCAACATATCAAAACTTTATAATTTTTTTCTCTAAATATGCTAATATCAACGTACTATTTGTACAAAAAATCTAAACAACTTTTTTATAGAATTTTTCAAAATCCATTTTTGTGCCTTGATTATTGAACATTGAAAACGTGTTACGTTTGGGGGAAAAATATCAAGAAACAAAATATTTTCTGATTACTCACAAATGATTATTTCTTAAACAAATGTCATGTTAAATAGGTAATATCCTGAGCAAAACATATAGGTTTGAAATAAAATTGAAAATTAATGATTCTAATATTATAGTTACTCCAGTTAATAAAGGTTGAAACCTAAAGGACAATGCACACTATCCGTTCCGTTTCCCTTCCGTTTCATATCCTTTCCTTCCATACATTTTTTTGGCAGGCGGACTGAAGCATATCGGAAACAGCGTTGTCAAGTTCTTACATTTGTACCAGCTCTGTTAACATTTTGATGATATTTATTTATTTATTCACCTCTTAATTAAATCTATTGCCTTTTTCAAAAGATACAAATTTTTAAAATAAAACTTTCGCAATGATATAAATTGTAGAATAAAAAGTATGGAACTGATACGGAACGGAAGGTTATATGGAATGGATATGGAATGGAAACGGAAGGTATAGTGTGAATCAACCTTAATTCGTCGACAGGGACTTTTCAAGCGGATTGTGTACCTTTTTAAGGGTAGTTTTATGGGAAAAAAATTTAACACCGTGCTCGGCCAGCTTTGTCCGAAAAAATGGCCGAAATGGGCAAAAATCAATTTTTCACAAATATCTGCCAAAATATACAAGTTTTCATGCAATTTTCTTTTGTTTACGACACTTCCAAAAAAGTGGAAAAAGCCACCCACGAATAATTGTTTTTTTATTAAAATGTTATTAAAACAAATACTTCAAACTTTCTGTGAGTTACTTAAAAACACTCTAAGAACAACAGTTAAAAAAATCTTGACAAATAAAATATTATTAGTGAAAATATGAATAAGTTTGTACACTGTAAAAAAAATAAATTAGTGAAATTTCACTCAGATTTCACTCAATACTTTCTCAATTTCTGTCCACACCCGATTGAGTGATATTTCCACTCTACAGAACTGAGTGAATCTTCAATTCTCAGAGTGAAAAGCATTGAGTATTTTCACTCAATCGAGATTAGACGAAAGACTCCATTTTTACTTAAAACAGTCCACTTTGAGTAGGATTTTGAGTATTCATTCACTTAAAAAAGAGTGAACTCACTACGTGTTGAGTGTTTTCACTCAATCGGGATTGGATGAAAGACTCCTTTTTTACTCATTATGGTTCACCTGGAGTCGGATTTTGATCGATTTTGATAATTTATTCACTTTAAATGAGTGAACTCACTAAGTATTGAGTTCAAAAACCTTTTATTGATTGACTTTCAAATTTGTGTTACACTTAACTGATTAGTACTCATATCTGAGTATTAATTTCACTCAGTATTGAGAAATATATTGTAAATGATTTTTTTAAAAGCTATATGTAAGCTAAATAATTGTTATTTTATAACAGGTGGGCAGGTGCCTTTCAAAGGTAAGTTTCAGTTTAGGACATGGTCTCGAACATGTCCATTTCCTAAAATTCACTTATGGGAGGCATCTGTTCACTTGTAATAAAATAACAAGTTAGCTTACATAGCTTTTGAAAAAATCATTTAGATATTTCGTTTTTTAAAAAACCAAATGAAAAACTGTAGAACCTTCAAAAATATTTTTATTTGTCATTTTTATTTGACAAAAACAAATAAAACAAAACACACTATAACAATATTATTATAATATCAAAAACACTTTAAAAAGTTTTCAACTCTTTTTGGAAAAAATACAGGAATTTTTTAAGCTAGACGTCTAGAAAAGTTGCAACACATCACAAAAATCCGCTTTATTAAGAGCATTCGTCAGCTCGGCTACCAACATTCTCGAATATTTCTAATTTCTAAACTAACTTTTAATAACGAAAATTCCTCGGAAAATCCAGACACTTTTACTCCTGAAAATTAAAAAAAATGTTATTCTGCCAAATGTTCCAGTTCCCAGTTCCAGATTGAGGGAAACTATTTAGATTAACATCCGAGGAAACATCCGAGCATTGCGGCAATCAGTGGACGCAGTCGAATTTGAATCTATGCTATGTTGGGCGGATTTCTGCGATGTGAAAAAAAATGTTCTTAACATAAAACATATTTAGACGTATTCGTTTCACCACGCCACGCGGCCACAGTCACACTTTACATCACACTTTACACACACACTATGGGCCTGTAACCTTGGCGCCTTCGAAGGGACAAGATAACCTACGAACAGATAATTAAAAACTGAGGAACAGGGGAATAGCTTATACGGTATCGAAGGAACGCGTATAACGTATGATTAGTAATGAGCGAAAATACTCTAAACTGGGAGATTTCACTCAAATTTTTATTGTGTTAAACTATAACATGAGTTTTTAAGTGAATTTTTCTATTCCATTACTCAAAGATAAGGGTTATTACTCGAACATGAACTTATTCAACCGCTATAGATTAAATAGAGATCATATTTGTGTAAAATTATGAATTAACTCTATTTTAGATGAAAATGTACTCAATTTTTTCACTCAAAAAATTCACTCCCTGAAAAATATGTGTTCACTCAGGCTGATTTTTTACAGTGTAAAAATCTGAAAATTTATGGACCAAGAAGTGTTTGGCCGGTTTTTTATCATAAAATACGACAAAATTCAAACAACGTTCCGATGACTGAATGTTTTTGAATTATCAAAAAATATAAAATTTTAGCCGAGTTATTACACAATTTGTCCATTAATCAGTGATACGCTTATGAAATGTATAAGTAGCTCCGGAGTGTTAAGACTAAAATTTTGGAATCTTCGAGGCGGAATATCTCGA